AATCAGCCCCGCTGAATCAACTCTGAGACACAGCACAAATCAGCCCCGCTGAATCAACTCTGACACACAGCACGAATCAGCCCCGCTGAATCGAGTCTGAGACAGAGAACGACTCAGCCGTACTGAATTGAGTCCATTTCCATTAGGTTATTTAAATAACACAGTTCTTTGGAAAAGCTCTCAAGAAAAGAATTATCAAAATATTTATTTCTTATGTAAAAATGAATACAACACAGTTAGAAAGTATAAATCAAATATTGCATCCAAGTTCTTATTTCGGTATGGGGTAGCTGTATATCTCCATTTCTCCTACTGTCTCAGACATCTTTTTAAAACATCTTTAATATATCAGTGAGTCTGAAGAGCACTCATCAGTCCTCATTCTGATGTATGTGCCTGACTTCACATGAGAGCAAAATATTACGATTTAGCTATACATGACTGAAATATTAAAATCGTGTTAAAATAATCAAAAAATGATTCTGAAATGTGGCTTTGCAAAATGTTTCATGCATCTGTTTAAATGCATTCCTAAATTTAAGCTAACTTATTTGAACTAAACAGGCTATTAGTTCAAACTGGTTTCTGAATAATGTTTAAAGGAAAATAAAAAAAAAATAAAAAAACAATAGAATATGAAATAATCGTGGTCCTTTCAATTGTCTCTAAATTCTGTTGTCTTTGTGAAGCAAAGGCATTTACCAGGCATTAAAAATCCAAAGAATATGGGAACTCAAAAATCATGCTGAAACACCTTGGACTCAGAGCCATCAAATCTTAAACTATAGATACCTTCCTGTCACAAATCAACAACAGATGTCCTAAAGTTAAAAGTGAAGACCTTTTGTGAAAACAAAGATATCAAGAACTGTCTGCACAATTAAAAATCGGTGGTTGAGGTTTTTAAGAACAGGTGAGATTTGAACTGTTCTTAGAAACCTCAGTTAATAGATCCCAGAATCCTATCCAGCCATTTCCTGAAAGAAGCCAGGGTATTGGCTCCAACTACACGGCTGGGGTTTGATCCAAGGATGGCATGTTTTAAGGTATGTGCTGTAGTTTTTCTAGATTTTTTTTAAACTATCAGCTCGTTTTAGGTTTGTTTTAAGGAAGAAAAGTTATAATGACCCTAAGGAGTTGTTTTTGTTCAGGCATCTGAAATCCGTTGGCAGAAATAGACATATTTAAAAGATGGTACACGGGAATCTGAAATCAAGCTACAGAACACTTAGCAACAGCATATAGGAATAGGAAGTAAATAATTCAGCTGATAAGCAATAGAGGAAGACTAATTCTCAATATCTCTTATTGACAGGTACTTGAGTAACTAGCATTCGATGCAGAAAGTAGTTGAAGGCAGATAAAGATTTAGATTAAGACTGTTTTGAACACTGAGAAAAATAATGATACGCTGTACTACATCCGCAGCGGGAGATAATATGACAATGCTTTCACAAACCCATGATTTTTTTCATCCTACTTTCATGCCTTTTTTGCACTCAGCCTTTCAGCTGCAAAGGACTCTGTGGCTTCCAGAGGAATGAAAAAAACATGAACTGTCAGGTTGCTTGGCACTCTCGTGCCTACGCACAGCTTAGCATGGTGAAGTTTGCACTCCTCTCGTCGTTCAGTTATTTTAAAGACAATTTGCACACCTACTGTTATGTCCAATTAGCCCCCCGACCTCGCTGTTGCGAGGCTGAGCCCTCAGCAGGGAGTGTCCCCTAGAACTCCAGCAAGCAATCAGACTAAGCTGTTAGAGTTTTTTTTTAATTAGTAACCGTAACTGTCAGTTTAAATTTCTGTGTATTCAGGCTTTGAAGGAAGGGTTTGAGATATTCTGGTCTTATTCGCCAATAATTCACCAGTTTCACTGTTTTGTAAAGACTTACAGAATTACCTTGGAATGGGTAAAGAATCAATTTTTAATAAATGAAGCAGCTCATCCTGAAGGAGTCTCCTTGCCTGGGTTTCAGTGTGGAATTATCCTCCATGCTCTTTAGCAACTTGTACACTGACACAGCTCCCCGCCTCAGTCTCTATGATGTATTATAGGCCGCTTTAAAATATTTTTAACTGAATGCTGTGCCTTTTAAAATCATTTAATTTTGGGTCACTGCATTGTTCCCTACTTCACACTACTAAGGAATCTGTTCTGTGCTTCAGGAAGATTATTTTAATCATCCACGTTGCCAGAAGATGCTGTCATATAATCTTTAGTGCAGTGTTTGTCTATAACCCTGGTCTTTGGGGACCACTGGCTCTGTAAGTATTTGTTCCAGTGCAGTTCTAAATAACCGGTACTAATGAGTGACTTTATTCGTTTGCTTGTATAGTTTTTTGGTTTATGTGCTTCTGCACTCGGTCCAGTGTTTCAAAAAATACTTGTATCAAAAAGTACAAGAGCACTGTTTACAACACTTTAGCATACGGAACTTTAATCAGTCTTTCAGCTTGCTTAATGAATAAATGAATATTAATATGGGATTAA